TATAGAAACCTCGCCACGGTATTTGGAACGAGGGGGTGATGGTACTTTGAAGGCCAAGCAGACCCACTTTCTGTCTTCCCGTGGCGCCCGTCTGTCTGTCGCACGTCAAATGCACCTGCGTTACAATTAAATCGATGACTTCGAACAGGACATGCCGATGGCGAGAGAAATTGAATATGTGGCTTATGTTACTCGAAACTAACAACACGAGAAAATAACATCTACGAACAACTTGACATATATATATAGAATTTAGATAGATCTGGCGGAGATGCTGAATTTTTCGAGTTACGGACATCGAGTTAAGAAAACATCGAGTTACAAAAATGACCACGCCCATATTTCAGAAACCACGCCTACTTTTGCGAAACCACACCCAAATTGCAACTCTATGTTCAATTAACAACCAACAGAACTTCGAGTTACGGGCAACCTATGTTTTTATTTTTGTTAAACGTCCACATTTAGTAACAGATAACAGTTAACCGAACTTCGGGTTACGGGCAACATGGAATTTTTGTTTTGTTTAACCTTGTATATTTCCCGTTATTCGAAGTTCAGTTTACAGTTAATAAACATTCGAGTTACTAAATTTAGATATTAAACAAAAATATATGTTGCCCGTAATATGGCGGGTTTCCATTCTCTCTTCACCACGAACAGTATGCGGTTGTTCTTTTAATTGGACATCGAGTTACAATTTGAGCGTGGTTTTGAAAATGTGGGCGTGGTCATTTTTGTAACTCTATGTTATCGTAACTCGATGTTCGTAAACTCGAACAATTCAGCATCTCGTCTGGCGCGTTGAATATTATTATTAGTGATATTCTGTTACGCTGGGTAGAACATTTTTAAGTAACATCATGTTGTCTTTCTTTTCCAGGGTGAACTTGCCTACGAAACACAGGTCATTGCCAGAACTAGCATGATATTCAGCGATAATACAACCTCCCCTGCGGTATTTACTAACTACATTCGACCATTTCGCCTTGATATGCCTACAGTCGACGTGCTCGGTTGCAGTATCGTGTGATTGACGTCATAGAGTTGGCAGTGTCCCCGGGGTAGTGATTTACTAGATGAACTCCTTTTAAACTTTTCCGTTTTGACATTGATCTGACAATCTTCTGTGGCGAAGAAGGGCGCCACCAGCAGTCGTGACATGATTTCGCTATACTATTTACCGACGTATTTCTTACATATATATTTATGTAAATACTAGATATTTATTCAAATTCTGTTATTCAAATACGCACTGAACATCCAGGTCTGATTCCCTTATATTCAATAACTTCTTACGTTTAATTTATAAAATTCGAAGAATTATATTGAACATTGTGCACGTTTTATTGATTTTTATTGTTATTGCACCCAAGTCTATACGTGTTTGGGTTGGCCGGTCTGCTCTGGTAATATACATCAATTCAGCCTTTCATTAACTCAGCAATACATTGAATGCATGTTCTAGATATTGGCGGCCATTTTATTGACATCCACGCCTCTTCCAGTTTATGCAAATGTATAAGAAATCTGCATGTTAACTCAAATAAAAAGTACTGTACTTATTTATCTTGATTTTAACAACTTCCACTAATGTGTATACATTATTTTTCTACCGCATTGCGGCGTTTATTCAATAAATACATTATTTGCAGCTCATAATGTGCTTTCCTGTCACTATAACCAGTCAGTGACATGTGTACGTACTAGGACACTTGTTGATTATACGTGGGTACCTCTTCTCGGGTGCGAGCATCCGGGTATTTTCACTGCTTGGCAACCACGGCCGGTGGAAAGAACAGCGGGAAACTCTTAAAAAACAGTGCTTTGGGCTAGTTGTTGAGACTATCCTGAACAGTGTGACAAGATTACCCCTACATGTGCAACATATAGAAATTTGGTTGTTCATGATTGTTTCATAGTTGAGATTGAGCTGTTTTCTCCGTCTACTTTCGCTGTTTTCAACGGCTCTTCAACCGGCGTTCCACAGCAGCTCTCACAGAGCCCATAGTAATACATATTGAAGATAATATTTGGTAATCGTAGTCCTAAATAACTATTAAAAATAGCTAGACGTTTCGAGCAATGGCTCTTTATCGATAGCATAGAAGCAAGTGTCACCATAGTAATACATGGTGCAGTGGTGAGCGTCTTAGCAACGTGGAACGTTCTGTGACGTAGCTCCGTTTCCGAGAATACTATAATTATAGGCGTGTTATGAGGTGGATTATTCGCCCCTCTCTGATGCTATTCAATCTACAAAAAATTGTCTAGCCTTAATTTGGAATTTAAGTACAGTTTATTCGTGAACAATAGTAGACAAATACAAGCCATATATTTATATCATGATTGTAGTGTTATTGTTGTTGTAGCATTTGTACAAGTTTCTACAAAGTAGACAAATGGTTATTACTAGCCGTAGTTAATGTTGCTAAAATATGACTTATAAAGAATGTTCGCCGGTACCTACATACAATGAGTATTTTTAAAAATATTTTAGATATTGTCAGAGGTACATTACTTGGGGTTTGCAACGCGCATAGTACTGTATGGTGACATCATGTCAAGATCCCATTCAAGTCTCATCTCGTAAATAGCGAGACTGGTGCTACGACCTTCTGACATGAGATAGGCGGTTTGTAATAAAATAATAAAACACGTATTACCACATTCATAGTGAAAAAATGTAATACATCGAAAATGTAAAGAAAATATAGTTATCGTAATCCGTCATATCGTGAGCAGCTATTTTGATCCACCTGGACATTCCAGTATCCTAGTTACCTCGGGCATGCGCATTCGAATTTTTCTGAGTTGGAACACTTATGCGAGAGCGAGATTGAAACGGGATCTTGGTATCATGTCACCGTAGTTGCAAACCCCAAGTAATGTACCTCTGATATTGTATATTTCACTAACTAAAACTTGTTTTCTTGTAGCACACACACGCTATACATATTCGTGTCAGGTGATAATAAACCATGCGTAATGCGCATGCGCTTTGAATTGATAGTGCGTACCTGTAACCACAGTCCCTCTATCCCCGGTCTGGAAACGGTCATTGTATTAGGTGTGAATTGGCCTCTTTCACTGGTAAAGGCGCATTGCTCAAATACTCAAAGTCAGGTCATTTCAGTTTCAGTGAAAAAACTTGTTGACATGCAATTACAAGAAGTTGCACCAGGTACTACCTGTATATTTTTAGAGAGGTTTATCGCATTTTCACATTGTAGATTTTAGAGCAAATCACACTTTCGCACGAATCAACTCTATGGTTTTCTTAGACGATGTAGCACATACATATACCACGCTCTGGAAAGCTCTATGTAATTACTACCATATCGCCAGTGACTGTATCATGCATGTCACTTGGCGGTTCTGCGTGACTAGTGCAATATTACAAATAATGTGCGTTCTGCTCAACAAAACAAGGTCACGTGACTTCACGAATAACAGATTTGACCAAAACGTTACCATGTATGTAAATTAAGGCGTCAAAGTCGTTAGTTTACACCGGAAATTCAACTTTTAACTCATAATCTCTACATGGAAATTAATTACACTAGTCTTTAAACATTTAAACACCTCTGCTTAAATTGTGACTACTAGTATTGCACCCCGTGTCTGATTCCCAGATTAACCGAAGTACATAAACAAGGCAGAATTGTATAGTTCGGAAAAAAAAAGTGTCAACAAACAAGCTACTCTCTGATTGGTCTGTTTGTTAGATTTTAGGGTTGGGTAGTCAATCAGGCAAGTATCTTCGCCTGGATTCGGATTTCCGATGACACATAGATCTGTGCAATATCATCCTTTCCACACACTTCGTTTATTTCGTATCGGTCAAGGTCTTGTTTCATTGTCAAATCCCGTGCGTAGATTTATACAATCAGTTTTGTGGATTTCCGTATGTAGTGTACTTATGAATTATTAACAGGTTCATTGACGGTAACCAACTTACACGGCCTTTGCGTTTTTCGTTCGCTCGGCGTTCATTGACCCTATCCCTGTGCTATTTTTTTAGGTCAAACATTATGGGATATATGAAATTAAACACGACTATTTATTTCTCAGTCTTAATGGAAACAGTCCGCCCCCAACGAGTATACGCATGACGGGGATCGTCGATTTACTCTAGTACATTAGTATACCGATAACATTTTACCGTGTAGGCAAGACCATCTACGTTTTGATTTTGTAATGACGGTATCTTGAGATGAATGAAATGCTGCCCACTCCATTTTGACTCATCTGTTTTCATTTAAACGTTGCGTACACCGGCTGTAACCATGACAATAAGACATTATCATCTAGGATCACGGATAACAAATGATGTATAGAGAAATATAAATGATGATAATATTACTGTGGAATACTTTATTTTCGCTGGAATTTATTTTCGCTGAAAAGGCTTTTTGGGCGTTTTGCTTAGAATTTATTTTCACTGATTTTTGATGAGATTAATGTAAAATATAGGAAAAAATGTATATTCACCGGATTTTATTTTCTCGGAATCATCCCTTCAGCGAAAATAGCGAAAATAAATTCCAAGCGAAAATAAAAGTATTCTACAGAATATTATTGAAAATTCAAAATCTTAGATATTGATTACTAATTTTGAAAGGACAGAAAACCCGCCGAACATTGTGTACTCCGTCAGTGACGCCTATAGTCGACAACAAAATTGACGTCAATCCTTTTCGCCCACCTCTTTACTTGTATTAAACGGACCCCTTAACTTGTAAGAATGTGTAACACCTTCGGTATATTTTTTGAGAGCTAAGACATATATTAAACTGAATATACTCGTGTATATGTCCTGTCAGTATTTAATGGTATAGAATAAAATAGCGTGGTATTTATGGTAAATATTGGTCGGCAAATGTGAAATCAAAGACTGGCATGTTAAAGATCTTAGAAATTGCCTTCTCGCTCACATTTTATAACACCATACCTAGGGAGTCTCATCTAAGGTACTCTATGATGATCATCCGCCATAATGGAGGTGTAAGTATATCTGCTACAGCCGTACACTTGGATATTGTTGGCGTTAATATTATCATATCTTCTCCGGACGTTTTTCTTCAGATCATGGAGATGTTACTGTAGCAATGGACGCCTGGATTGCGTTTAAACTCTTCGTTTTAGTCTTGGTGTGTTGCGGTGAGGTGACAGAATCGACGGGTTATATAGGTAAGTGAGATTTCGAAAACAAACTGGCAATAACGAAGAACCGCCAAGATATTTAAAACGATTGCCAACGAATGAATGGACTCGACCTATTGCCCTCGGTACAAGTCCATCTGATGATGTGAAAACGTCGATTACTATTATTATTGTGTTTACGTTGAATTTCCCTATATTTTATTGAATGCCTGATTTTCTAGACGCGCTGACTGTAACGCTCCCCATCTGCGAGGAAAGGCTGAAGTCTAAATCAAGATCAAATGATAATAAAAAAAAACCCGTCAAGCTCGCATATTTTTAAAGACAATGTTCTCCTAACTCCTCTCAGCTCAACTCAAAATTTTGTGTTGTGGCTTACAATACATTTATTTGGATCGGCTGTTACGTAACAACTGTTAGGTTGGGACGTGTCCTGTCAGCTGGGTAGTGCCATGACCATCCAATCATGGACGTACTATGTTTAATAGTGCGTCCATGATCCGAGCAACCTCTCAGCGACTTCCGTGATTTTCGACGAATACGTTGCATTGATAAATATTAATACAATTTGTGCATTGTGTGAGTATACAAATTGTTGACTTGAAATCTACTATTTCTAGATTAAATAAATAAATGGATAGAATGAATGGACTGTCATTTATTCTGACAACACTGGTTATTAGCAGTGCATTAAATACATGGAAGAAATATACAGTAAATCAACGTCACATCAAAGAATATTAATCTTGGTATAATATACATACATGTATACACAATGAATCTTTTATTTGTTGTTTTCCCTTTGTGATATGGGACCATATTAATATAGTAATAAGGTCTGAAGGTGTGAGTTCTGTACTTCAAGCTAAATTCAATACTCAACATGAGACTGAGAAGTGAAAAAAATCAACACAGTTAATACTGTAAAAGGATTAATTATTCACTGGGTTTTAATTTTGCTTATTTCACTAACTGAAAAATGTGCTAAATTAAAACCCAGTGAATATGTAAAATTTAGCATAGAACACTTTATCTAAATGATAAAACCGTGAATTTAAAACCCACCGAGTATGCCTGAAATTGTAATTCAGCGAAATTTAAACCCAGTGAAAATTAGTACAGTAGTTAGAATTATATCTAATATTATATTTACATGTTTCTGATACAGGGTCCATTATGTTTGTCACTGTATAGCGGGACAATGTATTTATGCTTGGGGAAGAGAGATTAGAAATTGTGTGCAAATAATTGTTTTTCTTTGAATTTCATCAATTTTTTTTATCCTCCCATAGCTTCTTAAGTGTATATTATTTGTTGTGCCAGAATTTTTTTGAACAATATCCCCTCACCCTAATTTCCACTCTCACTCCCATCTGAAATAATGGTTCACTCCATATTTCTTATAATATGTTTTTATTGAATGAGGTTTATTGTTATAAAATAATGCTATATTTCAATGTCTTAACATTTATTAATTCATAGAAGGTTATTGTGAAGCTAAAACTATATTAAAATCAGAACAAAAAAATAATATTGGTTTTTGATCAGATCATTTTTTATGTAATACTAGTTGACAGTTCATGATATTTTAGAAATTGACTAGGCTTAATTAGGAGTAAATGAACCTTTGCACGCTTGGTGGGTTTTGTACACAGTGTGCTGTAAGGTTTATAACCAATGTATTGTTTAATTTGTCGCTACCATGCTTTTAAATGGTCATGTCATTTCTCAGATTGAATATGCAGCAAATAGACTTTTAATTTCAATGAAAAACAAAAACTTTAAAGAGCATTTAACAAGGATAATTCTTTCCAGCCTTCGCAAAAGACCTTCAATGATTTTCAGAAACCGAATCCTATTGTGGAAGTACATGTACATGCATTGCTTAAAGGCCCATACGTTCTCATACAATTAAATATTTAACAACTAGGGTTTTTGTATTTCAATTTCAATGGAAAACAAGACAACTCTAAACTATCACACATGTACTTCGTGTCCACTGTGCATTGCCTTTAATTATTTAATAAAAAAAAAAAGATTCATATAATAATCACATATTGTTTAAAAGCCCATGCCATTTCCCATATTGAATATGAAGCAGGTAAATTGTTATTACTGAAATGGAAAACAAAATATACATGTAAATCCAAACTGGTAGGGATTACTTCCTGCTGACCATGGTACATGACAACAGCTTTGATGATCACAATTCACGGCTTTATTTAATCCATTGAAACACTTCGCAAAGATCGTTGTCATGCTGGATGTGTTCAATCAAATGCATTCTTTGATTCAAAATGATTTTTCTTAATAACCAGCATAATTAATTTGTTGAAATGGGTGTCCCAATGTCTTGATCTTTATTGTTCAGTTGTTGTCATTCAGGGTACGGTGTCTTTAGTCTGATAGTTGAAATTTGTCTGTTTAGTGGTAACATTGTGACAAAATCTCACAAAGTATCACAACGCAATGCATGCCACGAATCTATTTCAATGTACTGCACAACTACTATTTTCAGTTTTTAATACTAAATCGCTGGTGACACAAATTATCAAATACGAAAGTAAATTTCAAATTAAGAAGCATTGGAAAACTACTAGAAATTGAAACAGACAAGAAGGCAAATGAAAATGAACCCTGACAAAAAATACATGTATCTCATTCATAGAGTGCCTCAGTGCTGGAGATTACCAGCCATGGCCATATTATGCACTTTGTGATATCGCGACTGATGCATGCTGGGTGTCAGAGGGGGTTCTGATCAAGGTTCTGTGCATGATTTATCCACAATATTTAAAAACTGCATCTAGTTGCCATTATTGATGTAATTTCTAGGATAATTTTTTATTTATTATTAATCAACACGTGGATTCTTCATTTGTGTATTTTGGCACTAAAAAGTCGGGTACCGATGATAGTAACAGCAGAGCTGAATGTCCATTGCATCGTGATGCTGATTTTTTTTTTAATATTTGTCCTCAATACCAAAAACAAACAAACAATGAAATATAAGCATTAAGAGAAAAAAATAAATTATGTAACTGTTTTGCACGAAATTGACATTGCGCTGTCAGGCTCGTAAATTCTTCATTCGCGAAAGTGAATTGCTAAAAAAATAAAGTATTTCACATAACTATAAATCCTAGAGAAGATCTAGTTATTCTATTTATTTGCCAGGGTGGAGTGGGTGGAATTGGGTTGGTGTGAAAAGAGTGAAGGAGAGAGGATGTGTGGCATGGTATTGAAATTAAATATGATAACATAATTCTCACTATGTATACCATTGACAGTTACCATGACCCCCACCCCACCCTAAGGTATGGGCTTCCTGCAACTAAACAAATACTTCAACCCATAAATATACCATAAATATTTATAAATTTTACCTTGCCCCTATCATCATAGATAAGAAAGATGTGTGAGGGGAAAACATCTGTCCTCGCTGTTAGGGAAAACATCTGTCCTCGCTGTTAACTCTGTCGTAAAACTTTTTCTTGTGATTACTTACAAGTGCTCAATCTTTTTCAAATTTGGATATTATATTATAACCAGTGTTTGATTTTAGATATTCATAAAGTTAAATTATTATATAAGGGTTTTGAGATTAATACATTACTTCTAATACTATATGAGGAACATGAATATTAATTAATTTATGTAATATGATGACATTTCCTCCAATCTGATTAAAATCTGATGTAGTGTACGGGCTTTAATTATTTTAGCTATGAAGTTATTTTAATTTTATTTTTCATTACTTTTGTTATTAATGCCCTTTTATTTTATTATTTTACTTTGATTTTTTTTAAAATTCCGCCCTACCTACATCTGAGCCGATGCCTATGTAACGAGATTTCAACGAGACCCACTATCGACGATTTAGTCAACGAATCACAGACTCCTTCTATAGCGCACATGA